TTATCAGGGAAATATTATTTATTTTATTTTATTTTATTTTATTTTTTTGGAAAACACAATATGGAACAGCTGCTAGAAATTAATAGTATTAGCTCATATTTTTATGATATATGATTTTATATATATTAGGGAAATATTTAGACATCTAAATGTTAGATTAAGACAAAAAGAATAAACACACATTTATTTATAAAGTTATTACATGGGTAAATTGTTAAGGTAATGTCAAAGGTATAAGCTTTGACCAAAAGTTATAAAAACAAATAAGAAAATACAAATATGACTGCAGGTCTGTGCTCTGCTAAGAGAAGAGACTGTCATGAAATGAAATGCATTGGGGGTTTTGCTTGTTATTTAAAAACTAAACAGAATAGAGATTTTTCTTTTCTTTAAAGATTCACCTCCACAAAAGATAACAGTAATTTTTTAATAAAACAGGATGAAATTAAACCCTCTTTGACATTCACTTTTATCCCGAGACATTGTAACAATTTTTTTTCTTTTTCTCAATAGTATTGCAACAAGGAACCAAATTCACAGCAACACTGCAAACTATCACCTGATAAAAGCATAGAAAACGGTTCATTCTTTTTGCCAGGAGGTAAAAATAAACATTTTCTAACAATTCTGAAGCCGGAGCAAAGATTGCATTGGTTTTCAGTTCAAATTTAGTTCCTTAAGGGAAAAGATTACAGAGTAAGGAAACAGATACAAAGACTCTGAAATAATGATTTCGAAATCTAAAATGTCCTCAGAATTTCAAGGAAAAAAATGAAAAAGGAATTATGTAGTCATTTCTCAATTATTAAATACCTAACACTTTAATGATGTATTTGTATTTTTCTTAAATAAGAAGGGATGTAGTCAACAAGCTTAATAATAGTCGTAAACAGAACGAGAAATCAGAAGAGGACACATTATACTTGCTTTATCAGGCATGATTTTTCTTCTCTCTCTGGTTAAATAGCTCAAACACTTCACCTCTGAGTCTTTCTCTGAAAAGGATTTTATCTTGCTTTGATATATCTCACCACAGTTTTTTAAGTAAGAGAGGTTATTTATGAATTAGATTTAAGAAAGATTTGTGATAAGTCACCCTCTCATTGCCTCTTTAGAATTTCAGTGATCATATTTATAGATCAGTATTTTAAATTTGATTCTTTTCACCACATTAAAAAAGATAAATCTATTTGATTTCCCCCCCTCTCTTAATATATTCTCCTTTGGTTTACCAGAATTTGTATGGCTAATTAGCTATTTTGGAGCTAAAACCATGAAAGGTGACTTAGCTGTTGTGCTGAAGTTTCTTACCATGCAAATGAGCATCCTGCCCCACTACTCCCTTCCCTGCTGATTCCCCCAGAAAACGCACTTAGACCCCAGCTCTCACAGGTAGGCTCCTGGCAGGCTGTGCTTCCATCAGTACTTATACACAGAATATGCCTCCTGAGGCTTATGACCTGTGTCATGTTTTTGACAGGTGTGTCCTTTAACAACCTTCAGTGTGCTGCCAGCAAAGAGATCGCAGCAAGTCACCAGAGACTTGGCTCTGGGAGGATGAATCTGTGATGTGCTATCATTCCTACGACTTCCAGGGATAATGTGACTAACCTCACACAAGACCCAAGTGGAAGAGAATAAAAATATGAGAGGGAGGGAAGGAGGGAGGAAAAAAAGAAGGAAGGAAGAAAATTTAGTTCAAATCCAACAAATGCTCACTTCACTTATTACTAAATGCTAAATGTTTTCAAACAGTGAGTTCTTTAATCCCCATTAGGAATTTGACTCATCTTTATCTTTTCATTCATTTGGCATGCGCAGTCAGGAATGTTCATTCACTCTGTAGCTCATTGTCTGTAGTTTTCCAAATAAAGGTCTCAGCCCAAACAAAAACCACTAAGAACCATGTTTCAAACCAACCGAATGAAAAGGGACATATTGTGTCTCCATGTGTCAAGGAAAAGAGCGTGATGGCCCAGGGGCCAAGGATGAGTGAAGCAAAGGATGAGTCCAGGGGACGGGAAAGATGGGCCCGAGGCAGGGGACACCAGGCTTCAGAGGACATTTTCTCTTGCATGAAAGGTTTGTAGCCTTAGTCCATTTGAAAACCTTATTTCAGAAAGAGGCCACTTCTGATTCCTGGTAATCTTTGAAAGGTTCAAAATAGAACTCAAAATGGGCACTCCATTCAGTTTTGCAAATGTCAAAGCTATTATTGTTCAATTTGGTTTTAAGAAAAGTAAGTTTGGGTATTTTAAAAGTTCCCCACAAAGGCCACTGATTTTTTTTTAAATGACTTTTGGACAGACCAGTCCATTTAGTTAAGAATCACATAAGAAGAAACTTGCATTTTTAAACATAGATTTGGGGTTTATCCCTCACCCTGTTCTTGGGTATAAACCCCCACTTGGCTTTGCTGGAGTTGTTGAGTCTAATCTCTCTCTCCTATTACTACAAAAACCTCACTGTAGTGGCCTCCCTTGAATAAAGTCTGCCTTATCATCTTTGATAAGTGTAATGAATCACTTTTTCCCCTAACACACACCCCATGATGTTTTTAGAGTAGAGAAATTGTTCAGAAGTAGAGAAACAAACGAGACTTTTCTAAGCAGGAACTGAGAGGAAGCCAGAAGTACTAGGAAGATCCCTAGCCATGAAACGTCTGGCACTTCAAAGTGGGGCAAGTCAATTTTTTATATAACTTTATTTTTACTATTGACACTATTACAGTTTACCCCCCTCTATCCAGCCCCCACCGCCCTTCCCTCAGGCCATCACCACACTGTTGTCTGTGCCCACGGGTTATGCATATATGTTCTTGAGCTAATCTCTTCACCTTTCATCCAGCCCACCCCCTTTTCCCCCTCCCTTCTGATAGCTGTCGGTCAGCTCCATGTATCCATGCCTGTTTCTATTTTGTTTATCAGTTTATGTTGTCATTAGATTCAACATAAAAGTGAGATCATATGGTATTTGTCTTTCTCTGGCTTATCTCACTTAGCATACGTTGTCATCTGTGAAGGAAGAGGCTGATGGGAGCTGTCCATGGTCCTCTGAGACGGGAAGAGGGAGCCTGGCCGTGGTTTTCACGGTCTCATATCTCTTCCTGACACAGCCTAGAACGTCCTCCTCAAGGCCAGCAGTTAGACAGATTAGTAAATATCTTTTGGTAAACACGAAACTTTTATTATGCACATTTGGTTTTCTCCTTACAACTAGAGGAAATGAAACTGTAATGGTGCTGAAGAGGAGTAGTCCTTATGGAATCATATCATCTATAAAGACACAGGATGAGCCTAGGTAATTTTCTGTAGTTGGATCTAAGACATGGGGTGTCAGGGTATGTTAAATGAAGGGCTGAGAAGAAAGACAGGGAAAAGCCAGGATTAAATTTTTCTATTCAAAGCTTGATCTAAAAGCAGACCTGTTTTTTCTTTTCTTTTCCACCTGGCCATAAAAGTGGGAACTCCTCAAGCCTAGTCTTAGACCCCCATTTCTCTTCCTACATTCTCTCCCTAAGTGGGCTCAACCATTCCCTCTCTTTCAGATGTCACCCACATGCCAATACCTGCAGACCCATTTCTACCCAGACCTTTCTGAGCTCTGACCCTTCAATCCAATCACACGTTTAATATTACTAGGATGTCTCAAATTCTCAAGTGCCCCAGACAGAATGCATGATCTTCCCTCCTTCCCCAAACTGGTTTCCTGTGGGATTTGCTATCTACCACACCTCCCGTTGCACAAGTCAGGAACCTATAAATCGTGCTTGGAACTTCTCTCTCTATCACCCTCTAAAGTCTACATATTACTAAATCCTTCTGGTTTTGCCAGGTGAGTATCTGGTGACTTGGCAGATTCTCTCCACTTCATCAACATCCCCCCAGTCTAAGTTACCTTCATCTCTCATCTGGACTTGCAATAAGTAGCCTCCTACCTATTCTTCTCAATTCACTCTTGTTCTCTAATGATTTATTCTTTACACCAAAAGCATTTCAAACCACTCATCTGACTCCACTGTGTCTCACTTTACCTCCTTTCACTCTCTATGGGCCTAAAGCTGAATTAAGATTAAGGAACAACTTAATCCCAGGAACAAAGGAATTGAACATGATTGTTAAATGTACTCATGTACATCCCAATCTGTCATATAAAGAAAGGTTCTATTTGTCTCTTAATGTTTCCCAGAAAAATTACTGGAAGGACTTTTACCTAGTGTTAATGATCTGACTTGAATCATAGGCATTGTGGTATGGATGAAATTTATTTGGTGGAACTCTAGACAACTTTCAGAGAAAGTGGTTAAAACAAGTACGAGGCGGGGCTTTGTGATTGCTAGCTGATGGTGTAGACACACCATGCAGGTTAAGAAGCTAGAGTCAGAGGAAACAGAAAGTCATTTCAAATATAAACCACAAAGAAAAAAGTCATAAGAATAAAAGCTCAAATTGCATCTGATAATTTGTAATAAACTGCCTCTCCTATGAGCAGCTCTTTCTAGTGAGCTTCTGGGTGTCAGAAAATAACTGAATAATTTATGTAATGATTATGAATAATTCTCCCAAGCCAAATGAAAAGGTGGACTTCCAGTTGATAGTAAAAACAAGTGGTATGTTTCACTTCTTCTATGGGTTCACAAGTCATAATGATCCTTTTTCTGAATTCCTGTAATGAAATCAGAGAGGACCCCAAAACATTAGCACTTTTTAAAAAATTCTCATATGGTCTTTAATTATTTCATGTATACAAATCAAGACCAACTTATTTTCAACTATGTTTTATACTTCTTTTGTACATTTTCCTTAGCAGTCAGAGGTTGACAATTCTAAATGATTGGTTAGTTTGCTGACCAGAGACACTGAATGTAGCATTTGTGTAGGTTACAGAACACGTATCTAGATTACCGCAAGTTAATAGAATATTTGCAATGATCTGGGGATGCAATGTATGTGCTGCAGGTAAAAATAAAAACAATCTCATTTTCAATATTCTATTCACTTTTCTAGTGTCTTTGTAATTAGTGTGTTTCAGGAAACAGATTTGCAGTCTCTGAATGGGAGCTAAATATTTTCCCTGACACTATGTACTTGAGAGCTTTTCGAAACCATGGATAAAAAAAACCATGAATGAGGGGGTTGCAAGTAGAATTGAAATAACCAAGCCACACTAAAAGATCAAGTAGTATTATGGGGGCAGAATAGTCCAGATATGGGTTGATCAAAACAGCAAGAAAACAAGGCAACCAGCAAGCTAGAAACACCCCCATTATTATACCCAGAGTCTTAGCGGCTTTCCTGTCCTTTTTCTTAGACACATTTTTTTTCACTTCCTCCTTCGTCTTTGCGGGCCTGTTGCTGGTAACTCGAGCATGTTGCTTGGAAACGATAAAAATTTTGCCATAAATACCAACCATGATGGAGCCAGGAGTAAAGAAACATGTAGCAAACAATATTGTCCCCCAAAATTTGTTAAAAGTGAGTGCACAGAAATTGAAGCAAGCAACAAGAATCTCATAGCTCTGCATCCCCGAAACATTGGCTTCGGATAGAACTAAACCGAAGGAAAAAAACGCGGGGGCCGACCAGCAGAATGCCAGCAGCCTCTTTATCACGGAGGGGGTCATTGTGGTTGTGTACTGCAAAGGGTAACACACAGCATAGAATCGATCAATAGCAATAGAACAGAGGTGGAAAATGGAAGTCAGGCTTAGCATCATGTCAAAGCTTGCATGGAATTTACAAAAGCCATCCCCAAAATACCAGCAGCTCTCCACTGATCGCACCATGCTGTAGGGCATAATGAGCACACCCAGCAGAAAGTCCGTGGTTGCCATGGAGAGGATCAGAAAGTTCGTAGGAGAGTGCAGTTGTTTGAAATGCGATATGGAAATCATTATAACCAAGTTTCCGAAGACCGTGATCACCATGGCTCCAGTCATCATCGAATACATTATCACCCGGAGGCGAAAAGGGCGGTTGGTGGGAGGACAGGATTTGTTTCCAAATGTTGGACAGCTGGATAAGTCTTCAGGAATATAAGTTAGGTCCATGGTGCTTTATCTTTTCAAATTCTTTTCTAGGAAGGTGAATCAGTGTTTTCTCTCTTCTGAAAATCAGTCCAGTGACTTTCAGCTCCTAATAGTACAACAAAGTTCAAAGTCACTTGTTATTAATTCATTTCCATTATAATGTATTTAAATATTTCAAATTATAGCAATTGTGTTTGCTTTCTGAGTTGTTCTTGTTGTTGTTTTACTGCATTAGAAAATAAAAAAATCTCAACTCTGTTTGTCTTTCCTATTTTATTCTTTTTCATCTCTTTCCATATATTTATTCAACATGGGTTTATCTATTGACTACTCTACTCCTGGTAATGTATTGGAAGTTTTTCCAGAGTTTATTTGACTCATATGAAGTATCTAATATAGCCGAACTCACAGAAGCAGAGAATGCAATAGTGGTCACCAGGGGCAGGGGGTCGGGGAAATAGGCAGTTTTGTTCAATGGTTATCAAGTGTCAGTTATGTTAGATGAGTAAGTTCTGGAGAGTGCCTACAGTTAATAATATGATACTGTGCACTTCAAATTTTGTTAGATTGAATTGAGTATTGTAACCACATACACACAAAAATGAAGGAACATAAGGAAACTTTGGAAAGTATTGGTTATGTCCATTACTTTGATTGTGATGGTGCTATCACAGATGTTTGCATATGTCCAAATTGTGCAGCTCTTTGTTGAGCAATGATACTCAATAAAGCTGTTAAAAAAAAAAAAAAGAATTTGTAATCTACATTCACCTTGACCAACTACTGTCCTAGAAACTTCTTTGAAGTACAATAAGCTAACATTTTTTTCCACCATAAAAATACTTAATACATGAAAGCTGAGTGAAATCACATTTTTTTTTAATGAATTATTTCAATAATTTGAAATCTTCATTTCTAAAAGGCCTACAGATGTCTTAAGAGTTAGAAATGGCGCATGGCTATTGAAATATACAGAAAACCTTGTACCTATGGGCTAAACCTGCACCTGGCTCAATGCTTCACAGCTTCTCTACTGTCTACTCCCTCCCCCTCTTCATTCCCCTTCCCCGTGGTTCTTGAACCTTCTCACTTATCTGAGATTCTAACTAGTGGAGTCAAGTTACATACTCCATCCCCAGTGCCTCACAGGATCACAAATTTCACACTCATACACTGGGGCCAATCAAGTTTCATGAGACTGCTGTTGGGCACAGGCATGACTTTCTGACATACTGTGAGGCAAAGAACTTGTCTATCTTGTTTGCCACTGGATTTTCAGTACTTTAACTAGTGCTTGTAGCAGGCACTAGGTACATATTTTTGAATGAGTACATATATAAATAAATGGCAAATTATGGTCAGTTTTTAAAAATCGGCATTGTCACGATAAAAACAATCGGTTCCATATGCTTGAAATTTTGCCATAGTTGAATGGACTCGTTCAACAAGCACCATTCATAAAAACATTTTTTTGGCATTAAGTTGCTTCTGATGCTGCTATAAAACAACCTAGAGTAGCAGTTAGACAAGCGGAGCTGAGAGATTTGCTCCAGACATGCTTTACTGATCCTTAGGCTGGTGAGAAGAGAACAGATGATGTTGAGCCCACACAGAGCTACAAAGGTAAAAGGGAATAAAAGCTGCACTTGGGAGGTGGTGGCAGTGATGCCACAAGAGCCCCCTCGGTGTTTTATGGACATGTTAAGATGTGGTTATAGGCTCTTTTCAGTCCCCGATTCAATGCCCAGCTCCTTACCTACCACTTAGGGGAGTTGGAGGTCTCTTCTAGCTGAAACTCATACTCTCAAAAATGAAAGAAAATGCTGTGTGGGAGATCCCAGACTTACAGCGAAACTTGTACAGTATTTAAATCCACGAAGATGTATTCAGTTAAAGTATATTATAACCCAGGAAACTCGGCCACACCTCAGTTGCCCATAAGATCTTAATGATCACAGCCATGACATTGAAACCAGCTCACATGACTATCGCATACAAGTAACTGCTCAATTTGTTTTTTAGGATTAAGAGGATTCTCCTAAGAGGTGGTTCAACCTGAAATCAAATCTCCCACTCCACACACTTATATTTATCTAAAGGAAACTTCATATATTTTCAGAACTGGAAAAGACCTCAAATAGAATGTTTACAAAGATTTATTATGTGGTGTCGTTTCCGGCACTGCGTCTAACTTACATTCCATAGCATGGTTTTGAAATCAGGCAGATCTGTGTTTCATTATTGATTCTACAACTTATTAACCACATTAGTTTGCAAAAGTGTCCCTAAGCCTCAGTTTTTTCTTTTATAAATTAAGGATGGTATACGTTTTATTTATTTATTTATTTGTTTATTTATTTATTTATTTATTTATTTATTTATTTATTTTTTAGGTACATGTTCCTAGCGGGAACCGAACCCGGGACTCTCTGGTCCACAGGCCAACGCTCCACCCTCTGAGCCAAACTGGCCAGGGTGGTATACGTTTGATTTAAAGATCAGAGATAACATATGAAAAGAATGGCATCTACCTGGTAAGCACTCAATGAAGCCCACATTAACCAGGTTTAAAATACTATATTCTGATTTCCAAATGACTGCTTTTCAAATAAACTTTTGTTTCATAACTTGCCTGAAGATTGGAAGTTGTCTGTGGAGATATTGGCATTATTCTTACCTTTCTTCCTGCTTTTTCTCATAAGAACGATGACATTTCCTTCAATTTTGCCCTTTGTTGAGTCTTCCATATTGTCTATTATGTTGATAATTACCCTTCATTAAATTGCTATTTTGTATGTCAAAATGTTTAAATATTTATAATTACTCTTTAGGATCTTTTCCTTTTCCCCCTCACGCTTCAATTTTAAGCACTGACTAATATTAAAAAAAAAAGGTTGACATAACTCTAGTCATAACAATTTGCCAGTTGATGAATCTTAGAGGGAAGCAGGGAGGGGAGACTGGAAGAGATTAATCAAATAACTTCTATGCATACATGCATCGCCCATAGACACAGACAGTAAGATGGCGAAGGCCTGGGGCGGGGCAGGAACTCAATGGAGGGGGCAATGGGGGAAAAGGGGGGAAATCTACAACACTCTCAACAATAAAGATAAATTTTTTAAAATTTCGAGTCAGATTTTCAGTGCAAGATTGAATCATTGCGCTGAAGCTTACTAAAGAGAAACTTCAATGAGCTGAACACATTTATTTCAGAAGGAGGAAGAGTTGGCCCAACAGCAAACTCGAGGTTCAGAATCTAATTTTTATAGCCTTGAAATAGGAATGGCATACAAGATGTGGTAGACAATAGGAACTTACACTCCATGGCTCTAACAGGAGGAGGCAAATACATTCACATGCTATCTACATGGTACCAACTAACACAAGTGTCACCACTGCTATAAAACATGCTCCTGTCTTCTAAACTGAGCTATTCAGGTCAAGTCGCCATTGCCACCTCTGTATGCATGTACGGAAACACATTAATAATCCAATTATGATTTCCCTTATTTTTATTTGTTGGAGAAAATCAGATAAGAAGGATCAGCAAACAAAAATATGAGCAATTAGTGTAATATATTGATTAAAATTAAATGTAATAAGAAATAAATCTTTAGGTTTTTCTTTTTAAGCACAAATGTGCATAACTTTCATAAATAATGTGTTTTCTTTTTCTCCTTAAGTCTGATTGTCCCATGCTTCTGGAATTTAAGTCTAAAGTCTAAAGTATTTTAGCTGATTAGATAATTGCTTAAAAGAACCACATAAAATTTCAAACTCGCCTCTCTGACGACTTCTGAAGGCTTGCTCAGGGTTGCTGGGTAGGAGGAAGAGTTTCTTACCAAAATCAGCAAGCATTTAAAGACCTAGAACTAATATTAACAATGATTATTGTATCATTTCTCTTACCACGGGCCAGAAGGTAATGTCAAATTTTATATAATCTATTTAAAAATTGATCTTAAACTATAAGGTCTTGAATATAAATTCTGTTTTTAAAGCTCTAAAATCATTCTTGGCCTAAACGTAAATTCCATCCAAAAGAAAAAATTGTACTAATTTTTTACTTAACTCATTAAATAAAAACAACAGTGTGACAGTACAATTTCATGAGTAATTTCAAAATTTAGACTAGTATCTTATCAGAAATCTGTAAATGGTATATGTAGTATAATAGAAAAGATAAGCAAAGGTTTGAAATTTATGAAAATTCATTGTATTGTATCTTTTCTCAAATATCTAATATAGATGATAATGAATATTTAAGACTACAATAACAAAAACAACTTCAAAGCCATTTTAGGGATGAAAGTAAGTTGACTGTATTCAAATGAAGCACAGAACACTGAAATAAGCAGAAGAAAATGATTTCTTCTATAAATCTATTTTGTAACTATCTTTACTAATCTGCTCATTGTGACGTCAAAAAGTAAAAATAGGAGGGGTCTGGCACGTAAATAACATTTATTCCAAATAGCTTACAGTTATAAGTAAGCCTTATAAAGCCACATGGCATTTGGAGCAGAGATGACATCTTGAGACGTTGTCGTCTTAAAAGCAGCTGGCAGAGAGCGGCAGTAGGCACCCTCACTCACGGAACAGGCAGAGACCCTCCACTTCAGAGAGCAGGGCTGAAAAGAGAGGGAAAAGGAATACCAAAGCAAAGCACCATTCCTGTACTTAGCGAGAAAACACAGCATTATTTGAAGACTGGCAGAAGAGAAGAATCTGTATTAAAACTAAACATCAGCCCTGGCCGGTTTGGCTCAGCTGTTAGAGCGTCGGCCTGCGGTCCAGAGAGACCTGGGTTCGGTTCCCACTAAGGGCACGTACCTCGGTTGCAGTTTGTCCCCGGCCCTGGTTGGTCGTGTGGGTGGCAGCCACTTGATGTGTCCCTTTCACGTTGATGTTTCTCTCTCTCTCTCTCTCTTCCTTTGCTCTATCTGAACAAAAATTAGAAAAATGTCCTCGGGTGAGGATAAAAAAACAAACAAAAAACTAAACATCAGAGAATGTGTTAGAAGTAGGGGACCAAAAA